CGTGATAATGCACAACACATTAATCTTGTGTTATAATACATAATTTAACTTCTTATTTAAAAGAATGTGAACAAAATGGATCGAACTCTACATTATATAAGAATTTAATGTAAATCTACTAATAATATAAAAAAAACTTTTGTACTATCATCTAATACCAAATTATCATGTATAATTTTTTTCATTAATTTTATAACAATGCCCTTTAAAATCATACTTAACATATATGATTTTTGTTTTTGATAAACATGTACAGTATAAAAGTTTTTATTCAGACAATGCATAAGAATTAAACAATATATAATTATTAAAGTTATAACATGATAATTATTTTCAAAAGTTTTAATTAAATGAGAATACAAACCTTTTTTCATAATCAATCAAAAAAGACAACAATGAATTTAATGACGTTAATGACTTTAATAGTACTATGTTTAAGTTTATTTTATTGATAGTCTAAAAAACAGGTATTTAATTATATAGAAATTTCTGAACATAACAACTGAGAGTGAATATGCATGCATAATATTTATATTTAAGATACTGCTGTCACCAAACATGTGCAAATTAAATCCCATGTGAATGAGTATTTTTCTGTTGTCTGCTGCATGTTTGTCGACTAGAATTATATTCCTTTTTCCTTACAAACTCATAAAATTCAATGGATGGAGTTGCTATAAAGCCTCAGGTTCTTATGCTATATATTATTATTTTTCTAACTAAATTACTCTTGTACAGTATGCTTAGATCGATCATGTTCTCCTCAGCTTAACTTGATAACAAAAAGAGTGTGATCAGAACAGTACTATTGTTATACAAGGTTTTTGGTTTTTAATTAATCTGTTGCTTAGTAATTTGATAATCTTGTAGTTTATCTGCTAAGTTGGGGATTAAATTATCAAGATTTTATTTTGTATTTTCAAAAATAAGATTTTTCAAGAATATATTATTTGTGGGTTTAGGTCCGTCACTGATTATATGATCATAATCATAATTATAAAAACTTGTAAAAAATAATTATAATATATATATTTATACTTTTAAAAATTATATATAAAAATTTTAATATTATTAATATATAAATAAGTATTGCCTCCACTATCTAAAATTTTTAGGTCCGTTACTGATCGTGAATATTACTCACAATGGATAATTTTCTTCGAACTGATTAAGAGACCATCATTAATTAAGTTCTTTATCTAAAATATAGTTAAAAAATCTATTTTAATTATATTTAATGGTTCAAAATCTATCTAATTTGAACAAGATTGTCTGCAATAAAAAAATATTTATGATCAGGACAAAAAAATAATAGTTTAAAATTAATTTTATCTAAAAAAAAATGAAATTTACCCAATTTTAAAATAAACAGCACGAAGAAACCTTCAACGTCACACGAGTTATTAATAATTGACCACTCGAGGGCCTAAGGCTTGATCATAACTTTCATTAATTATTTCGGTGTTTATTTTTATTAGATTAGACGCTATTTATGGTTGAGTTTTATAATCTTATTCTGAATTTAATAATTTATATAATTTAATTTTTTAAAAAAATAAATCTACGAATTTAAAAGTATAAAATAATATCTATATGTTTTAAACAAATTAAAGGGTCCAATCCATTGCCTATATATTTTTATAGCTTTTCCCTTAATAGTAGAAAACTAATGAGAATTATTTTACGTTGTTAATAAATTATAAAAAATAAATAAACGATTTTGAACTATAAAATGGAAATAAATTATAATTGATATTATGAAAAATACAATGAGTAAACTATCCTTTTTGCTTAAAAAAAAAAGCTATCCTTTTAAAGACAGTATTTTTATTAACATATTATTATTAATATTGATTGGTTTTCATTAAAAATTTGACAGAATTGAAATATTTTTTATAAAAGCTAACAGTTGATAAATATATTAAAATATTAATATTCTAATAAGTTCATTAAAATATATCTATCGATTTGAAGATTAAAAAAAATGGAAATAAGATTTTATGTGGGTGCTAAATATGACATTGACCTGCCGTATATTTTAGTCCAAAAGAAAATTCTTTGCATTTATTGATAGCTGTCTTTCATACGTTGTATTTTAATTAATTTGATATAATACTTATTTTTTTTAATTATCTCTTATAATAAAATAGCCACTCTATATTAAAATATTCATGTTCTTAAATATTTAATATACTAATTAAATAATTATTCTCTTCATTAATAAATTTATAGTGATTTAAAAGATAGATCGAGAAAAACAGTACGTGATGTCTCGACAGCAGATATTATTACAATCAAACAATTATATTATATACTTTAGTCTTAGAAAATCCAATGTATCAAAAAAAGAGTCTTAGAAAAATTCTATAGAATATGTTTTTGTGAAATAACTTGTAAAATGAAAAGGTTATTATATTTTATTTGTTAATTATGTATATATTTAATTTCTTATCTTTTAATTATGATTGGTTGAGATATTGTAACAATTTTGTTACAAAACTTTTACCATTTATTGAATAAACTTGTAATATGTTGTTGATTCATATATACTTGAGTTTAAAAAAAATATATACAAAAAAAAAAACAGATTTGAGTGATCGACTTGGATTGATGAAAGTGAAGAAAGACTTTCATTTCCTAACCAAGGGGCTTATGTTTGAATTCTGATTCTTGTATTTATATAAAGAAAATTAAGTTAAAAGAAAATATTAACCTATTTAGTGTTTATTAAATTTCAAAGAATTTAATCTCCTATAAGTTATGGGAATGAAATGTGATCGAGTATAATTATATTTTTTTCTTGTGTTTAGGTCGTGTGAAGGGAAAAAAAAACATGTTACTATAAGTGAATATCTTCCTAGAAATAATTAGCCAAATTCTATAATAAAGATTATTTTTTAACAAAGTCATATCATCCAAAGAATAAAGTGACTGTATATGTACCAAAATAAATAAATAAATAAATAAAGTGAGGGTATTTTATATATATATTTTAATAAAGTTTGGGACGATGGCACGTAAGATGTCCCCACTTATGTAGTCTGAAATCTGCACCGTTGGTGCCACCTTTGCTTGCTCTATTTATTGAACACTCCCACCTTCTCTGCTTCGTGTGTAAATTTCGTTCTTCAACAACCTCCTCTGCTTCAGTTCTCTAACCTGCATTCTATCGCAGGTTGAGAACTTAATAACACAACTCTCTCCTTCACTTCCACTTTCACATCATCAATGGCCTGCTTAGAACTCTGCAAACAGGTATGTTAAGTATAAACATATATATATATACATATATACATGTTTACTCTAGAAACTAATCCTTCGTTCTGATCCAAGTGCATGCAATCTATTACCATGCCCTTCAGGCTTTTATAAATAAATATACATGATGTGTTACTATAAGTAATAAATTAAATATAATGCTGGCATTTCATTGAGTAATGAAATCATTGATCTGCAGGAAAAGTTCAAAGATGAGACACAAGAGCTGACTCTTGATGGGAGTGTTGATTGGCATGGCCGCCCTGCAATCAGAGCCAAATCTGGTTCATGGGTTGCTGGAACCATAGTACTATGTAAGTTCCAAACATGTATAAATGGCAGGGCCAACTTCTTTCACTATGTTTTATTTACTTAGTATATTTGTTTTTCGTTACATATGGCAATGCATTCAATCATATGTAATGTATAAACTTGGTCTTACCCTTAGCTAGGTACCATAATATATATATACAAAATTTCCCTACCTAATTAAGTTTTTCCAAGATCCCTGCACTGGAATCTAATATATTATTTGAAGTTATTAACATGAATTGTGTGTGAGAGATCAGAGATACGTCTAGGGTCTAAATATATAGGGGTGACTCGTGGCAGCAGTTGGAGCCGTAGAAGTTTCATGAACCTTGAATGATATATGATGGATATATATATTTTAGATAGCTTATCAGTTATGATTGAGAGGAATTGAAGGAACTCTAGAAGTTGCTTTTAAAATGGTCCTCCTCCTCCTCCACAAACAAACAAGGTGGATCTCTTGGTGATGTCATCAGTTTTAGGTCGTGGAAAACGACAAGTTAAATGCAGGAACCTCGTGCTCCATTCAATTTACAAAAATCAGAGGTTTTAGATTTGCAGCTATTGCTGCCTCACTCCTACTCATATGTTTTTGATCCAGTTGAGAGAGAGAGAGATTCTGAATCATGATAAAACGACACAAGAATAGGAAAAGGAGAGAGAGTGAGGAAAGAAGCATGCCTTTTAGGGAATATGTTCCTGACACGTAACCACTGCTGGGATCTTGCATGACTTGGATTATTGCCACGTGTCCTAAACAATAGACGCATGACCCTTCACCAATGAGTGCAAGCAAGGGTAATTCCATGTTTGGTAAACACAAATTCTATCCATCCATGGTAACTTACATAACATAAGACTAATTGCTAGCTAGTTGTTAAGTTTTATCGTATTTTTTAATGTTTTGTTAAATAAAATTTAAGGGTATTAATACTGTAAAAAAAGAATTATTATGACGGCTATAAAAAATAAAAAGCCTTAATTAGAAAATGTACCATTTAACGTTATCAATATATTTCTACCTTAATTTATTACATTAATAATACTTCACTTGTTAATTCTTTAACAATTACTTCCGGAATGATAGATAACAAAATCTGTTACCATAAAAGGGAAAGAATGATTGATAAATGCTCACTGACTTAGTCAGGTCGTTCTAAAATTAAGATATTAAGCCCAACGTTAAAGGTTAAGGGAAAGGAAAATTTTTTTTTTTGAACAGCTAAGAAAAATTTCATTGAAAGGTACCAGTGGTACCAAAAGAGAAAAGACAAGTTTACAAATAGAACCAAACATCTGTAACCCATGAAGAGAAAATAAAAAAATAAAAAAGAAGATTACCCACTTCAGTAGTTGTTACAGTGAACCCTTCACAACTCGCTACTCCAGCCTTATTATGAGCAACTCTACCCCACCCACCCTCCCTCTCTAACTGATCGAATTAAACTATAATTTATCCTACCCAGTTTTGAGAACAACCTATCAATTATACACCCACTTGCATCTTAGTTATCTTCCACCTACCTAGACACCTCAGACCTTCATCTAGTTAAACATAGACCAGGATTGCAGCACCATTGTGAAAAACTATACCGGAAAGACTTTGTGAAGGATGACAACCACCTCCAACTGTGAACCTGAATCTCTTTCACCATACTATCAAAACAGAAGCTGCTATCCTTGAACCTACATAGATTCCTTGTCCTCCACACTATCCAAGTAGTTACCAGCCACACCGTACGCCAATAAACAGCTTGTGTACTTTGGTGAAAAGGTCCAGGAATGAAGTTGAAATGGTCCAAAATGCACCTAGGAAGGGGAGCGGGACAATTAATCCACGACAGACATACCTTCCATACCTTGTCAACCACCGGGCAGGTGCAGAACAAATGATAATCAGTTTCAATATCACTCTTACAAAAAACACATAGTGCATCATTTTCTGATAAGACAATACTCCTGCTAGCCAGATTATCCACCGTAGGGAGGCCCCTACTCATCATTCTCCAAGCAAAAATTTTAGCTTTTGGTGGTGCCGGGATGGACCAAACACTGCTAGGTGCACCAATATTGGATCCTACAACAGCTTCAGAGGTGATGGCACTATATGCAGACCTGACTGTATAAGTTCCAGACGGTTCACCCAACCACCACCATGAGAATTGATAGGTCAGAATCAGACAAGTATTATTAGAATCATTGTTAAGCTAGTTCTGAGACTTTTCGTGTGAGCAGAGAAGTAGTGAACAAATAAGTAACGTGCGTGCATGTATATGCACTGAAATCTGTGATTGATTCTTAGATGGAGAAGTGCATGCTGAAATAATAAAACTTTTTTTCTTTTTGGTTTTTAGAGGGACGGCACAGTAAGGGGATCCAACATAAACCAATTTTAATTAATTTATAAGTAGTTTCTTTTGTAATTATAAGAGACACTTCGTAATAAAGAAATAGTTTCCTTTTCAAATTATACAGAATATAGATGAATATCATTGTTTTGGTTTGCTAGGCAGACTATAATTCCATGCAAATTGAGGTTTCTGTTTTGAGTGGGGAAAGAAATAAAAAATAAAAAAAAAAAGTCTCTCTCCTGCTACACTTGGAAATAAGCCTCGCAATCCCGAATATACTTTTTTACTGAACATGATCGATCGAGGTTAGAGCAATAAGATGAAACAATACCAAGTCCTTTTTTTTTTTTTTTTTTTTGAGGGTTACCTCCTCACACCATCTTTTTTTATGCTACACTCTTCTACCTGCAAAACTACTTCTCCCATTACAGAATAAAAATTGGTTCAAAAATATTGACGTGAAAATCACTTTTAATTAAACGAGCATATAGAAAAATGATTTACTGACAAAAACTTCGAAGTCTTCATAAACTATTTATAGATGGACTTTCTTTTCCTCTCTTCTGCATACTTGGGAATAAACTATGTATGTTTTTAAGCTGATCTTGCAACCATTTGAAAGTCTTTATAAAGCATGTATTAAACACGAATATAACTGGGTTACTTTCGGTTTTTTGCCATTATCGCGCGCAAATAAGCTCCATTTTTAATACACATACACGAGGATGCATGTGACTGTGCGAGTGTATTCAAATTAAGCGGTCTGCACTCAAAAACACTAATAACATTATGCTGACAATGCTTATTTTCTTGATTGATAATCATCAGTGAACCAAGGTCTGGCAACCTTAGCATTCTTTGGAGTAGGGGTGAACTTAGTGCTGTTCCTGACAAGAGTGATGGGGCAAGATAATGCTGATGCTGCAAACAATGTGAGCAAGTGGACTGGCACGGTTTATATCTTCTCTCTTGTGGGTGCTTTCCTAAGTGACTCTTATTGGGGAAGATACAAAACTTGTGCCATCTTTCAGGTCATCTTTGTAATAGTAAGTAATATTCTCTCAATTTCATTTCCTTGCCTTCTCTCTTATTCTTCCTCTCTAATTTCAGGCTAATTAAAGAATCTTCTGGTTTGATATAACAGGGTCTAGTATCCTTGTCTCTTTCATCATACCTCTCCTTGATTAGACCTAAAGGTTGTGGGAATGAAACAATTAAATGTGGGAAACATTCAAGCTTGGAGATGGGCATGTTCTACCTCTCAATATATCTCATTGCCTTGGGGAATGGAGGGTATCAGCCAAACATTGCCACATTTGGAGCTGACCAGTTTGACGAGGAGCACTCAAAGGAGGGTTACTCCAAGGTGGCCTTCTTTAGCTACTTCTACCTGGCTTTGAACCTTGGTTCACTCTTCTCAAACACAATTCTAGGCTATTTTGAAGATGAAGGAATGTGGGCTCTTGGGTTCTGGGTGTCTGCAGGCTCTGCTTTTGCAGCCCTTATCCTATTTCTTCTTGGGACCCCAAGATATCGACACTTCAAGCCCTGTGGCAATCCTCTTTCAAGGTTCTGCCAAGTCCTTGTTGCTGCATCAAGGAAATGGAAAGATCAAATGACAGCAAATGGAGAGGATTTATATGTTGTGGATGAAAATGAATCTCCCACCAATGGCAACAGAAAGATTCTCCACACCGATGGGTTCAAGTAAGTATTAGAAGCCAATTTCATCTAAACTACATAGTTGAATACTTTTGAAAACAATTGATGTTTATAACTTATAGAAGAGGCTGCATGGAATGCTTTTAGTGTATTGATGTCATCAACTAACCATTTTGCTAAGACCATGGCATGACTAACAAATTAAACACCAAAGGTTTTCAGTATAATTGGCCATTCTTTATTCTACCGAGCTATAAAAATTTGATCAATTTACCATTTGTCATCTGCCTTGCAGGTTTCTGGATAGGGCAGCCATTATATCTTCCAGAGATCTAGAGGACCAAAAAGGAGGTATTTATAACCCCTGGCGTCTCTGCCCTATAACTCAAGTTGAAGAAGTGAAGTGCATATTAAGACTTCTTCCTATTTGGCTCTGTACCATAATATACTCGGTGGTTTTCACACAAATGGCTTCTCTTTTTGTGGAGCAAGGGGCCGCCATGAAAACTACAATTTCCCATTTCAGAATACCACCTGCAAGCATGTCTAGCTTTGACATCCTCAGCGTAGCTATCTTCATTTTCGTCTACCGTCGAGTGATTGATCCACTTGTTGGAAGACTTAAAAAGACAAGTTCCAAGGGCCTTACTGAGCTTCAGAGAATGGGAATAGGGCTAGTTATAGCTGTAATGGCAATGGTTTCAGCAGAGAT